CCCTGTCTCCACATGGCACTGCTGCAAGCTCAGCGAAAGTGCCGAGACCAAAGGTGGAAAAAATGGCAGCACCACCCTTTTCATGACCTTGTTCCCCATGTACAGGGGCCGAAAGGCCAAAAAGTTTTAAATTTTGGAGCCTTTCATATTTTGGACTTTCAGATTCGGGATGCTCAACCTGTAATAATGAACTATTCAGAAAAGAAATCAAGGAAACAATTTCATTTACAATAGCATAAAAAATTCCTAGGAATAAATTTAACCAAGGCAATGAAAAATCTGTACATTAAAAACTATAAAACATTGATGAAGTAAATTATAGAAGATACAAATAAATACAAAGATATTCCATGTTTATGGGTTGGAAGAATTAATATTGTATCCAAAGTGATCCACAGATTCAGTATAATCTCTATCAAGATTCCAATGACATTTTTCTCAGAAACAGAGAAAAAAAAGTTGAGCATAGTGGCTCATGCCTTTAATCCCAGGGAGGCTGAGGTAGTAGAATTGCTTGAGGCCAGGAATTTGAAACTCTAAAAATATTTTCCTTTTAAACTAAAAAAAGTTATTTAGGCATGGTGGTACATGCCTGTAGTCCCAGCTACTTGAGAAGCTGAGGCAGAGGACCCCTTGAGCCCTGAAGTTTGATATTGCAGTGCATTATAAAAATGCCACTGCACTCTAGCCTAGGCAAGAGAAAAAGACCCTGTCTCTTAAAACAAACAAAACAAAAATTCTAAAATTCATATGGAACCACAAAATACCCCAAACAGCTAAAGCAGTCTTAAGCATAAAGAATAAAGTTGGAGACATCACTACCAGATTTCAAAATATACTACAAAGCTATTGTAATTAAAACAGCATGGCATTGGCATTAAAAAACAAACACATAGACCAATGGAACAGAATAGAGACTCCAGAAATAAATCTATGCATTTATGGTCAATTGATCTTCAGCAAAGCTACCAAAAATACACAATGGGGAAAGGACAGTCTCTCTATTAAATAGTATCAGGAAAACTGGGTATCTACATGCAGAAGAAGGAAATTGGAACTTAATCTCATACCACAGACAAAAATCAAGTCAAAATGGATTAAATACTCAAATGTAAGATTTGAAACTTTAAATCCAGAAGCAAATATAGAGAAAAAGATTTTTTACATTGGTCTGTGCAGTATTCTTTAAGGTGATCCCAAAAGCACAGGTAACAAAAGTAGCCAAAGAGACTAAACCAAATGAAAAAGTTTCTTCTGCACAGCAATGGAAGCAACAGAGTGAAGTGACAACATATGAAATGGGAGAAAATATTTGCAAGCCATACATATGATAAGGGTTAATATCCAAAATATTTACAGAAGTCAGACAATAGCAAGAAAATAATCAAATTTTAAAGTGGGCAAAGCATGTGAGTAAACATATTGCAAAAGAGGACTTACAAATGACCAATAGATACATGAAAAAACAGTCAACATCACTAATCATCAGGAAATGCAAATTAAAGTCAAAATGAGATATCACTTCACACGTGTTAGAATGGCTGTTATCAAAAAGACAAAAGACTAAGTGTTGCCAAGGGTGGAGAGAAAAGAAAATACTTGTACACTGCGGGTGGAAATATAAAATGGTACCGTGACTGTGCAAGGCAGTATAATGTTCCTCAAAAAATTAAAAATAGGACGACCATTTGACCCAGCAATTCACTTCTGGGCATATAGTCATAGGAAATGCAATCAGAATGTGAAAGAGATATCTGCACTCCCATGTTCCCCACAGTCTTATTCACAAAAGTCAAGATGTGGAATCAACCCTTGTGTCCATTACCGGATACATGAATAAAGAAAATGTGCCATATATACATACAGTGGAATGCTATTCAGCCTTAAAAAAGAAGGACATATTGTCATTGGCAACAAGGATGAAAGATGGGGACATAATATTAAGTGAAATAAGCCAGGCACAGAAAGACAAACACTCACATGTGGAGTCTAAAAAAGTTGAGCCCTTAGAAGCAGAGAGTAGGATGGTGATTGCTGGGGGGAGTTGGGAGACGGGTGCCAAAGGGTGCAAAACTTCAGCCAGACAGGATGAGTAAGTTTTGGAGATCTACGATACAGCATGGTGACCATATTAATAATAGTGTATTGTAGGCCAGGTGCAGTAGCTCAAACCTGTAATCCCAGCGCTGTGGGGGGCCAAGTGGGAGGATTGCTTAAACCCAGGAGTTTGAGACCAGCCTGGGCAGCATGGTAAGACCTCATTTCTTCAAAAGATCACAAGTAGTCAGGCGTGGCGGTGCATGCTTGTAGTCCCAGCTCCTCGGGAGGCTGAAGCAGAAGGACTGCCTGAGTCCAGGAGGTCAAGGCTGCAGTGAGCCATGATTGTGCCACTGCACTCCAGCCTGGGCAACAAGAATGAGACCTCAACTAAAATAAGTAAACAAATAAGTAAATAAGAGTGTATTGTATATGTGAAAATTGCTAAAAGAGTAGACCTAAAATGTTCTTACCACAAAAAATTGATAAGTATGTGAGGTGATGGATATGTTCAATAGCTATATTTAATCATTTCACAATATATACATGTGTCAGAACATCACATTGTATATCATAAATACATACAATTTTTATTTGCTAACTATACCTTAGTAAAGTTGGAAGAAAAACAGATCATGTGATTCAGGAATTCTACTTCTGGGTATATACCCCAGGAATTGAAAGCAGAGTCTTTAAGAGATATTTGTATATCCATGTTCATCGCGTTATTCACAAGAATTAAAATGTGGAACCAGCCCACGTGTCAGATGAATGAATAAGAAAAATGTGGTATACACATACAATGGAATATTATTCAGGCTTTATAAGGAAGGAAATTCTGACATATGCTACAATATAGATGAAACTTGAAGGCATTATGCTAAGTGAAATAATCCAGTCACAAAACACAAATATTAAATGATTTCACTTATATGCGGTATCTGGAGTAATCAAAATTATAGAGACAAAAAGAATGGTGGTTGGCAAGGGCTAGGGGAAGGAGAAATGAAGAGTTATCGTGTAATTGGTAGAGTTTCAATTTTCCAAGGTGAAAGAGTTCTGGAGATACATGGTGGTGATGGTTGCACAATATAAATATACTTAATATCACTGAATAGTACACTTAGAAGCAGTTAAAATGGTAAGATTTCTGTTAATGTCTATTTTACCACCATAAAAAAAGTTGAAAAAAAATAAGCTAAATTGCCCCTCAGGACAAGTAGCTTTGGGTGCTGGGCTTACTTCTCTGGGTTCTTGCTTTCTGACTTTGTCTGAGTTACTACCCACTTGTGGATTCTTCTATGTTTTCTATATTTCATCCAGCCTTTAAAATTGTCCTTAAGAGGAGTTTCATCTAATTAACCCAACACATCATTAGCAAAAGCGGAAGTCCCCTCATGAGCCCATCCAAAGTTCTAACCTTTTTATTCTGTGCTTTATACTTTCTTTTCCTCCCCATTGCCCAAGGTAAGACATACTGCCAAGGCTTTGTAAATTATTATGCTTAGATTCAATGCCCAATGTTACCAAGCTTTATTATTAAGTAACACTTAAAGTAATTGAGATTTTAAGAAAAGATCACAAAGTTGAAAATGCAAATATTATTCATTCAGGGTAAACTTTTAGAGTTGTCAAATTATAATATTTGAAGTTGGAAGGAGTGATTTAGTCCAGCCTTTTTATTTTACAGATAAGGAAATTAAGGTCTAGAAAAGTGAAGCAATGGCAGAATTGGAAACTAAAATTATATCTTCTTGGTTCCAAGTTCATTCTTTCTACTACTGTTTTAGTAAAGGATTATTTCAGGAAAATGTCATAAAATATTTTATACATTTTTATTTCAACTATTTACATGTGGATGGAAAGAAAAGGGCAGCTTAAGACATTTATTTGGACAGTTTCCTAAAAATCTACCAAAAGGAGCACAGACAAATAATTTTGTAGAACTTTTAATTAAAGTTAGCAAAATTATGCAAGATTTCTCAGAGCCATATGTTAATATGTACTGCAAATTTCCAAAAGGAAAACGATGCAAAATTTCCCAAACTTACTTAAATATAAAGCCATTTTTCCCCCAGACAATCTTGGTCTAGAATTCTACAGGGCATATTTTGAGAATTAATATTTTAGACTATCTCATAATTCTCTCATACATTTCACTTTGGCAAAAGTCTGAACACCTTTTTAGGAATTCTACCTACTCACTTTTACAAGTTTGTTGCCTGTTACTGATTGCTTTACACTTGTAAATTTTTTTTTAAGAGACAGCTGAGTGCAGTGACATGATCATAGCTCACTGTACCTCAAACTCCTGAACTCAAGTGATCTCCTGCTTCAGCTTCCTGAGTAGATAGGACTACAGGCATGTACCCTACACCCACCCAGCTAATTTTTTTATTTTTCATTTTGTAGCGATGAGGCCTCTCTGTGTTACTCAGGTTGGTCTCAAACTCCTGACCTCTAATGATCATTTTGTCTTGGTCTCAAAAAGTGCTGGGATTATAGATATGCACTGCTGTGCCCAGCTTAAAGCTATTTTAAAAATATATCCTTGGGAGATCAGCAAAGTACAATCAGGTCAATACCAATAAAAGGGTTCTTAAGATGGAGCTCTCTAAACAACACACTTAAGATTTCTTTTGCCCAGAGAATAACTACTACAGAGACGTGGAAGCCAATTTCTGTTATCTTAGGTAAAATTCTTATTTCCAATGAAAAATAAAAAACAAGATGATATTTTTTTCTAATTTGACCTAGTAACACCTTAAAAATGGATACCACTATCTATTTGAATCCTTCAATGCCCAATCCTATTTTGAGTGTGACAGGTATTGAGCCATCAATGAAAATATCAAACCAAGTTTAAATTTATTAAAGCTTATATTACTACTTATCATTGAAGGCTAGACCTTTCCAAGATTTTTTTGTTAAGAGATATAATTAAATTTATATGAAGAACTTACATGGAATTCTGAAAAGTGGAAAAGTCATCAACTTGTGATCCAAAAATAAGAAATCCTAACTGGGCATAAGCAAAGAATATTATAAAAAACATGATGGCAAATCCTACTATGTCTTTGATACAGCGGGACAAGGTTGATGACAACTGAGACATTGTCTTATTAAAGCTTATGAACTTGAATATCTGAAACAGAACAAAGTTAATTGAAATAGAATATCAAAGATTATAGTTACATAGAATAAGTTAAATTAATATCAGAAGAATTCTGCTTCAAATTAAAGGAGATACTTATAGTCAAGGGTGCTTGAGGATTTGCCAGCAATTGTTACAAGACCAAATTACTCTTAAAACTACTTAATAGTTGAGAAAAATATTTTTTCATGACCTCATAGTTTAAGTTCCCATTATTCTATTACACTGCTGTCTTATGTAATATAATAAAATATAAATACCTTTATCCATGCAAAGAAGATGGTAATAGCAATTATATTGTTGTAATAAATGTACCAGTATGCAAGAAAATAGAAGTCTGAATATTTTTCAGTACTTTTCAATAACTGTCCAAGTAAGATAAAAATTTGTACATTACAGTATATGTTGAAGGAAACAGCCACAAAACACAACTAAATGGGAAAATAAGAAGGGTTGAATTAGAGACTATTTCTACCTCTAGCTTCTTGCAGCCTGTGAAGAAACTCATGAAAAGTTTATCAGAATTTTAACAAACTTCTTATAAAAGATAGCATAATTATCATACAAGTAAAAAAAACTGAAACTTTTTGTTTCATTGAGTCATAATGTACAAATGTTTAAAATGATTATGTAACTCTGACTAAGCCATAAGGGTTTCTGCTCTACACGATACCTACATGTTTAAAATTTCCTACCATGTAATGCTACCAGAAAAAAAATATTTAGAGTTACAAAAAATAAACCCTTTTAAAGTCCTTTAAAAAGCATTTAAAAAGAGAATTTCAGAACCAGGTTATCTTAGTTATCACAGCTTTATAACTGACACAAGATTTTCCCTTTGACCTTCCTTGCCTGAAATACACAGACAGTTAAACATTTAATGCTATGCCCTTTGTTAGACATTATTGGGGGATACCAGAGAGGTAGGCTGCATGCTTTCTGACTCTGAGAAGCTTTCAACCTGTTTCGGGAAATAGGGCTTAAATATTTGGCTATGACTAAGGGCCAATGAGGGTGAAAGATCAGACTATATGAGCCAGAAATACTGTTCTTTGACTGATTTTTGTTTGTTTGTTTGTTTGTTTTAGAGATGAAGTCTTGCTCTGTCACCCAGGCTGGAGTTCAGTGGCATAATCATAGCTCACTGCAGCCTCAAATTCCTGGGCTCAAGTGATCCTCCCCACCTCAATCGCACCAGTGGCTGGGACAACAGGTGTGTGCCACCATGCCTGGCTAATTAAAAAAAAATTTTTTTTTTTGTAGAGATAGAGTTTTGCTATGTTGCCTTGGCTGGTCTCAAACTCCTGGGCTCAAGCAATATTTCTACCTCAGCATCCCAGAGCTGGGATTACAGGCATGAGCACCTGGCCTCTTTGACCATTTCTAAGACCAAGCTCTTAATATGTGTCTCACCCTGCCTAAATTTCTGCTTATTTTAGTATGTATGTTTTAGTATGTTCCTGTAAGTAGAATTGACAGTCTTTGGTATTTCTTTCAGGGGACAAAATTCCCCATCCTGGTGCCCTTTCTATCCACAAGTTCTCCTCTGGTTGTTCACCCCCCATACCCCATCACCCCATCAATATTTTGCCTAGTATTGTCTTTTGCCTATGTTTTCAAAACTTAGTGTGAGGAAGAAAGCAGATTTAGGCAGAAATAGAGGGGTACATTTTAAACAACTTTGTCCAAAAAGACCCATGCTTGGTGAAACACGAGGCCCTGTAAGGAACATATTTTTTAGGGTGTAGGTAGACTTACTGTGCACATTAAATAATGTTTATGGAATCATCTATTCTTGTAGGTTTATGCTGACCCTCTCAAGGATCAAATCAGGAAAAAATAGCCTTTTTGGAGGCATATTATTAGTAGTACTATGACAGTTCATTTTATGTTTGATACTTGTAGCTTTCAAAACAAGTCCTGGATGAATAGAAAATTCTGTTTTTTTACCCTTCCTTCATTGATGGGTTCAGATGCTATCTGCTTCAGCCATACACATGAATATATACTTACCAGCAAAAGTAGCAATTCTAGCCAGTTCCAAATACTTTTGAAATAGTCAGACTTAAATTCTTTCATTCTTTTGATTTCTTGTGTTGTGAAGATAAAAAGAAAAATGCAAAACGTGATTTCACAGGAAGCAATAAAATAATCATAGTAACTAACATATCTTAGGAGCTTCACAGTGTAAAACTGCCACGAAGTAAGTATTCCTCCAGTTGCAGGGAATTCTGCCACCAATCTGTAAAATTAGGTTTGTAAAAGTAACTATTCATTTTAAGCATTTATATTTCAGTACTTAATGTGAAATTTCTAATCAATGATGACATATACATTAATGAAATCAGTTATTTTGTACAAAATATGTTTCCTTGGGGCCATGGGTTTAATTTAAACGCTTTCTAGTGGATTTACTTATTTATTTCTCTCTTTTTTTGTGAATAAGCAGGATCTATTGAGAGGACAGAGAAGCTCCCACGGTGGTAGGGGACCTGAAGGGGTTGCCCCTACTTATTTCCTAATGACTCTACTTTTTCTGCACCTGAATATTCACAGTGGTTAAAGACCAATGTAAATTATTTTGAAAGTAAAGATATGACTTTAGTCAGACATTCATATCTTGTGTTCAGACTGTTAGTTCATAACTGGGAATAAAATTTATCTCCAACAGAGAATGAAATGTTCAAGAAAATGTCATACTGTTAGTTATTGTTATTAGTTAGGACTCTCCCTCCAATACATAATTTTTTAATATTTCAGAAGAGGGAAATACCTTCTCCCCCTTTAGATGATCAGAACTACTTCTTGCTTCTAAATGTCAAGGTTACATATTTTACTAAAGCAAATGTTTTCTGTTGGCTGCTAGATACAAAAATTCATATGCAAACAATAGTAAAACAATCACAACACTGAATATAAAAAGATTTTGAGGTTGTTTACTGTATTTCTGGTGTTCTCCACAGCCTTAGGTAATTAAGAATTGGCAGTAACTTAAGGAATCATCATTTCTATCACAATATTACAACGGGATTATTCCTACCTACAGATATTAGCAAATTTTATTGGTACTGTGATAAGGTACCCCCAAAACAAACAAACAAAACCACAGTTAACAAATAAAGCTGTTTCTTACATATAGTAGGTGTTCAATGTTGAATACATGAGTGAGGCGAAAGAAACTCAATATTATAATCTAAAATGTAGACTAATACACACAAAAAGAAAACCCCCAGTATTCTGTTCAGTTTGCCTGATACTGAAATGAGCTAAATCAGTTAATAAAATCAAATTGCTAGCAAAATAATATTAACCAGCTTGCTCCATTTTGTTTAAAACATTCATCTTAGTTACCTGCCTGACCTAAGAATCAATGCCTATATGTGATTACAGTAATGTTCCCATGACCACAGACCCCCAGCTTTGTCTCCTTTGGGCAGGTTATGCTGATCGTTGCCTGCTGACTGTTATAGAACTCCTTGGCCATAAGTTCCATGTGATTGCATGCTTTGTTAACTGAAATCAAATGTTACACTTTGACATTTTCATAGTTTGTTCTTATATTCTATTAGTGACCTAACCAAGGTAACTCCATTGTATAATGATTCTTCTTCCTTGTCTCTATGTAACTACCTTAAACTATATCTTAATGGCAGAACTCCAGGGACTTTTTGGGCACTGGCTATACCTAGGACATAAAATTAATCAAAGCTCTCTAACAATCGAAGTTCCCATTTTGGTTGCCAAGTTGTTAGTTACTAGTTGCTATGGTCACTAAGTTGCTATGTAGCCAATGCTGCAAATTTTACCTATAAAAGCTTGTCACAAACTGCACTAATTTGTCACTAATTTCATTCCTACTCTTGACCTGCGTGTTAATAAATTCATAATTAATTAGACTCAGCTTGCTGGTGTGACTTCTTGCTTACTCGGTCATAACAATACGTGTACAAAAAAAAAAAAAAAATAAGTGGATGTGGTCTTAGTGTAAGCAATATGCTTCCATACAACTACTGATTAGATATACCATTAACAGTTTCAAAATCTGCTTAAATTTTAAAAAAATAACATTTTAAGCTGGGCTCGGTGGCTCAGCCTGTAATCCCGCGCCTTTGGGAGGCTGAGGTGAGTGGATTACCTGAGTCCACGGGTTCGAGACCTGCCTGGGCAGCGAGACCTCATCTCTACAATAAATCAAAAAATCAGCCGGGCGTGGTAGCGCATGCCTGTAATTCCGGCTACTTGGAAGGTTGAGGCGGAAGCATCACCGGGGCCCAGCAGGTCGAGGCTGCGGTGGCCGGGAGCGGCCACTGCACTCCAGTCTGGGCGACAGAGTGAGACCCCAACTCAAAAAAAAAAAAACCATTTTAAAAGGTAACATAGGCTGGGCATGGTGGCTCACGTCTATAATACCTGCACTTTGTGAGGGCGAGGTGAGAGAACTACCTGAGCCTACGGGTTTGAAACTAGCCTAGGCAACTTGGCAAGACCTCATCTCTACAATAAATAAAAAAATTAGCCAGGCATGGTGGCACATGCCTGTAGTTCCAGCTGTTGGGAAGGCTGAGGCAGAAGGATCACCTGAGACCAGCAGGTCGAGATTGTGGTGGCCATGAGCATGTGTCACTGCATTCTGGCCTGGGCGACAGAGATTCCAACTCAAAAAAAAAAAAAAAAAAAAAAAAAGGTAACATAGAATAAGCATAAAACCTAGAGACAGGAAGGAAATCTGGACTTAATCTGACATTACAAAGATTACTTCACAAGACTTAAAGCCAGTTACCGGAATGCTTCCACTCTTATTTAGAATATAGAAATGATTTGTACTCCTTTCTTTATCCCAATCAGGACTATTGGGAAGGATAAATGATGTTGGTAAAAAAAACTCTTATTACCTGAGAGAAAAGTAAGAACTTAAAAAGGAGTAATGTCCATTGGCTGCTTAAGGTAGTTCATTTGCTCTACTCATTTTTACAAAATGTAAAGGCCATGATATGTTTCACTTTACATGTTGCACAGGGGCAAAAAATTCTCTAGTCAGAGTAAATTCCAATTCTGTATTCCATTCTGGAAAAAAGTGTAAGATTTATGAGAGAAAAGTGGCTCATTGAGATGTTAGTAGACACTGTGTTTGCCTTTCTAGCAGTCATTATTTCATTTCTCTTTTCTAACAAAATCCTAATTGTATTTGGTCAACCACTCATCCTCAGATTGATTAGGAGAAGCTGATTACATTTCTAGGCAGATCCAATCATGGTAATCCTAATTTCCAGGGTTAGATTCTAGAACTCTTCTGTAAATCAGTTAGTATGGTCCAGGGGAGGGAGGTGACCTAAGGTAACCCAATTAGATTAATGGAATATTTTTCTCTTTGGTTGATGCTCTCTCCTTACAAATATCAACGTCATATAACCACTGTTAGGTACTGTCTCTATAAATGTTTCTTTACAATACCAATTCTTCCACCACTTGCTTTAGTTTTAGTGCCTGCATCATAGAAGAATCCATGTCATAAAAAAAAAAAAGTCCAAAGCAGTCTTGAATAATTGGAACCTCTCTGCCAGATTGTCTAGTGTCAGCTTGTTTTCTGGCACCAATTCTTCTACTCTTCTTCCTCATTGTCTGGCAATGGCTGGGAAGCAGTCATCTCCACTAAGTGGTCTTCTGTTAATTCCTCTGGTATGGTGTCTATTAGCACTTGAATGCCTTCAAGATCCATATCTTGAAACTCTTCATTCTTCCACCTTTTTTTGGTCATATCCACAATCCTTGATTTCATGATTTCCTTGATTGGCTCTGCCATAAATCTGTGAAGCCATGCACATCTAAACACAGTTTTCTCCAGTGGGAATTTATTGTTTCAGGCTTTCACAGTTTTTTCCTATAACAATAATGGCATCTTCAATGGTGTAATCCTTTCAAACTTTTATGATACTCTATCTATCAGGGTTATCTTCACAGAGTTGACAATCCTTTCCATAGAGTACTGTGTGTAATGAGCCTTAAAAGTTCCTCATGACCCCCCATCTAAAGGCTGAATTAGAGATGGTGTATTTGGGGGCAAGTAGACCACTTCATTGCCATTGGTGTTGAACATATGGGGTTCTAGGTGGCCAGGGGCATTGTCCAATTAAAAAAAAAACTTTCAAAAGTAGTCCCTTACTGGCATGCTACTTCCTGACCTCAGACAAAGTATTGATGGAACCAATCCAGAAAAAGAGTTCTCATTACCCAGGTCTTCTTGTTATACAGCCAAAAGACTGGAAGCTGGTGTTTATCTTTTGCCTTTAAGGCCCAGGGGTTAGCAGCTTTATAGATAAGAGCACTCCTGATTATAAACCCAACTGCATTTGCAAAAACAATAGAATTAGCTTATTCCTTCCTGCTTTAAATCCTGGTGCTCACTTATCTTCCTTATCAATAAATGTTCTTTTTGGCACTTTTTCCGGAAAAGGATACTTTTGTCTGCATTAAAAACCTGTTCAGGTAGATATCCTTTCTCCACAATGATTTTCTATTTTTTGAGTCGGAGTCTCACTCTGTCACCCAGGCTGAAGTGCAGTGGTCCACTCAGAGCCACCCCAGCATCGACCTGCTGGACTCCAGTAATCCTTCCACCTCAGCCTTCCAAGTAGCTGGAACTACAGGCAAGCACTACCATGCCTGGCTAATTTTTGATTTTTATTTATTTATTTATTTATTTATTTATTATTTCCATTTGATTTTTTTTTTTTTCATTAATCAGTATTTTTTATTATGGTTTTGTGGGGTACAGTTAAGGGTTAGGTGTACAATGACGTTTCATTCAGGCACCCTGTAGATAAGAAGTGTTTTCCCATCCCCCGACAGATATTTGCTACTGTTAATCCCATCCCCCTCCCCCCCCATAGTTTCCCAGTACCATCTGTCATTTTCTCATAGTATTGCATTGGATGTTCAAGGTCCATTATATGAGTGAGAACATGTGATATTCGGATTTTTGTTTTTGTGAGAGGTCACTCAGTATTATAGACTCTAGTTCCATCCAGGTTGCAGCGAAATTCATGATTTTGTTCTTTTTTATGGCTGCGTAGTATTCCATCGTGTATATGTACCACATTTTTTTAATCCAGTCCTCTTTTGATGGGCAGCATGGTTGTTTCCAGGTTCTTGCTATTGTGAACAATGCTGCGATAAACATACGTGTGCAGGTATCTTTTTTATAGAGTGAT